GCTATCGGATAATATGTAAATATGTAATAGGCATTTATTATTTTTCTAAATATTGTCGTCAACTTCTAAAATATAAAAGGTCGTTGAATTTCCTTACCGGTCGCGACTAAATATGGAAAAAAATGTTCTAGAACTTGGCAATGGAATATTCCTTCAACTTCCTGTATCCTCGACCTTCTTGATTTAATCGTCGAAATCCTGTTTGGAACGATTTACGTCGTATAGCATCAACAGCGTTATTGATGCATATGGTTTCGTTATTTGTTTATTGTTTTGGGTACAAACAGGATAAGCTTATTAAATTAAAAACTAGGTATACCTAAGTACACTGACAATTACGATAGGTACTATACAGGGTGATTGTAGCGATTTACTTTTAAACGAAAAAAATGCTGTAGTTTTTCTTGAAGATTATGAGAGTCCACGTATTTGACTATACATAATATAATCATTCAGACAGATTTATGTGCTTGTCTGACTGCTACGAGCAGAGCGGCGCGGCGTGTTCTTGAAACCAATGTCAAGATCATGAGCATTGAGTAAAGCTGAATTAATACCCTTTTTCAATGTCATGACGAACCAGACGGATTCTGTTCGTTTCCAACAAATCTGTTTCAGGATTTAGGTAAATCGTTTGTAAACAAAACGGCGCAATGAATTATAAGAAGTGTCCTGAAGGAAATTTGAAAGTTTAAAAAGTGTTCTACAACCCCCTTGGTCCATTCAGCATTCAGTTTTAAACTGTGACGACCCAGAGTGTACATAATATTTGTAAATTAGTCTACACAAATAGCTAGTTATAAAAAGACTCCATAAATCTTGCACGACATTTTAAATAATGCTTGTGGGAAAGCGGAATATAATTGGATGAATATTTATTTATTTTTTTGTTATTTGGAAGGTGTTGAACTCGAGACCCCGAGGAGTAACCTGTTTTGCAAGAGTTTTTTCCCGAAGAACGGGCAACTTCTTCAAAATAAACTGCCTCCATAACCTTCAGCCAGATCAAGTACATATAAATTAATGTTTCTCAGAACTACCCACTGCTCGACTGGTTTTCTAAAGTATCTTTATTTTGTTCTATTGCAAATTTTATTTAACATGCATGATTTAAAAACTATTAGGTAATTTTTTTTCTCAAAAATAAAGGGAATATTTGGTCTAGAACTATTTAACTACAATTAAATAGGTATCGTTCTGCATTTTCTTGAAATCGGAAGTTTGTATTTGTATGTTTTATTGTATTTCTTTATTGTGTTGTGAAATTAGATAACACAGTAGATAGGAAATATCAATAATAATAATAATAATAATTCGGAAATAATCTAATATATAATTATTAATTTCTCTTAGTTGCCGGATTCTTAATTTTATTAACTATACATATAAAAAAGTGACATACTGTAACAACTAACATTGCATATTAAAATCACAAAAAAAAATTTACGGATTGACTGTACACGTAATTTATACGGTAAAAAAGATTTCTCAAAAAAAACATCAAACTAGTCGAAGGGGATGGCCTATAAATTTTTGTTTGTCTTTTTTGTATTTGTTTCAAGCTAGTAACCTATTAATTTTTAACTTAACCGTTTTCTAAACTTTAACAATTTCGCCGGTCTGAAACCTAGACTTGGGCGCTAACAGCACCTGTTATCGGACAATTCCAGGATCGGCTTTTAAATAAAAACTTTAAATCCGAATAAATTTTTTATTTTAACTTGAAAAAGAAACCACTTTTATTTCAGGCTGTATTTTAAAAACCATCTTTTCTTTCCAGGAAAAAAGCAAGTAATCAAGGGAGTATCTGGAAAATTCCTGGCTGGTGAATTGACGGCAATTATGGGACCCTCTGGAGCGGGGAAGACAACATTGTTGAACATACTCACCGGATACCAGTAAGGGTTTTCTTAATTTGTTAAATTGCGTTGTTTCATCTCCGAATCATTTAATAATAGTGATGTAAGTGAGGACTATATATCTGCTATGATATAAATGAGCCTGATATACTTATATCATTTTTCCCGGCATTTCATAACATGACCATTGGTCAAATTTAACCTCAAATTTTAGTTCAAACTTTATAAAAGTTGTAGATTAAAATAAATTTGTTAAAGATAAGAAATAAAGTATTGCAATGCCATGAGAAAAGTATTTGGTGTGGAAATAGTTCAACAAAATAAATGTCCAAGGGAAAGTTTTATATAACAGTAAAAAATAGTAAAAATAAGTGGTATGTATTTGGTATAAAATTAACGAGAAAGATATAAACAATAAGAAACTAATTTTGTTATAATTTTATTTTAGCGCTGAAGGTTGTATAAAATTAATATAAAAATAAAGATAATATTGTTTTTAGCAAAATACAAGGCAGATAAACCGGTGCAATAGATAAAAGATAGAAATATTTATAAACCATATGTTAACATTTTTTTAAAAACAACCAGAACTGATAATTTTTACTGATTTTTCCCAACTATTATTGTTCTTCAAATGGCATTTGTGTTCTTTCAATCTTGTGGCGACATGTCTGCCTGGTTGTCCAATGTATTCCTTTTCAAGAAATTGTTTTCTACCAAAATATCTTCGAAAATATGTTTTTTTTACTTAAAAAAAAACAATTAAATATCAGTTTAGCTTTAATTATTATTATCACAATCTCATTATCGCTAACAAAGCTTTGAAAACTACCAAATATTTTCTTAAAACATACCTACTCCTAATTATTATTATCGTATTATTCTTGAGGACAGAATGTCCACGAATCCGGGAATTATAAAAATAACTGTTCTAAATTAATTGACCAGTTATAAGATTTTTTTATACAAGGATTTAAATCAACAAACGAGTTTATTTTAATGCGTATTCAAATAAATTCGTAGTCGCAGGTATTATTAGGCAAATATACAGGATGTGTCAGTTTAAAAATTTTTAACATTTTGGGGGGTATATGCAGAGTATCTAAATATCTGAGCTATTTTTTTTAAGTCATTGGCTTTGTAGAGCTAGGAAAGATACCACCGACCAAAAGTGGGGTAACGTTGCTAATCAATAATACTAAACCGTGTTAGGGGAGTTCCCTTATAATCAACGATATTTTATTCTTCAAAAGACTATGTCCTCGTAAGGCTACCAAGGTACCTGAGATTGAAAAGTGTGTACCATTGCTAATCAACGCGTTAGGGGTTCCCTATAATCAAAAATAATTTTGTCCACGGCTGTTAAATAATGTATCCATTATGTATGTGTTTCCTCAAGAATAATGCTATCCATTTATCCATTATTCACTAGTGAATAACGAGGACCGTCAACTGTTCATTACAAATCATATTAGTGACTTTTTACTTAAAGATTTTAAATGTCAAAATTGTAGCAACCAAAAGAGAAGTCTTGTCTCTATACGTTTTCTAAGAAGAACTCAAATGAGCACTCAAAACCTACATACTACTGTACGTTCTTTCAAAGCATCAGCTAGGTATTAGCAACAAATACTGGCAATCTCAACGTTTTGAAACCATTTACCTACGGACACATACTTTATTTTATTAGTAAGCGATAAGAATGTGTCAAAGGTTAATTTTGATTTGATTTGAATGGTCAAAATTTGTGTCATATTTACTTCATTTAAGTTAGTTAGCTGTTTAAAATATGGGGATGTCTTAATAAAATGACACAATAGTCCTGATAAACGTTGTTTATTCTAGTAGTTTTTTCCATGAACCTTTGTAAAACAATTAAAACAAACATGGCACCACGCCAAAATTTAACCTCTTTCTGAAATTGTAACTTATAAAAATAAAATTAGGTTCATAGTCGTGGACAAAGTTTAGTATTCTACTCGCATATAATGGCTACTATTCACTCGGGTGACTTACGACACTCACCTACGGCTCGTGTCGCAAACATCACCCTCGTGAATAACAGCTGTCATTATATGCTTGTTGAATAATATACTATTTTATCTCGAACAACATGGCCAATTTGAGTAAAATTTTTATGAAAAGTAACTATGGAGTTATAAATAAGCAGTTCTTATACCGCAGTGGTATAACTCTGATATTTCAGAGGTAAAATTAATACCACTAATGATGATGCAGTTTTAGTTTTAGCACTTTAAAGCAATAAATGTGTATAATTGTAATGATCTTGTTTACCACTGAAACAGGCCATTTGAAAACTCTTAAGACGTATTTACGATTTCAATTTAAACAAAGCAAAACATGTTATTACTTGTTGTAGATGTAGGTACATATAGGTACTTACATATTATGTAATTAGAACTTCAACCAGTAAACAATTAATTCGTTACAATCGTTAATAATAAATAACACAGAAACCTTGTACGTTACCTAGATATACTCCACTCTATTTTTATTGATGTGATCACTTTTTTCATTTTTTAAATAAAATTATATTTGTCTAGGTGTACGTATCCCCTAGTGCAGGTGTTCAGTTTACAGAGACGGCCTCGCGAGCCATTTGAATTACTGAATTTACATACCTAATAATAGTGATAAAATAATATTAACATTTTCAGCCACAGTTAGATCTATAAACCAAACTATATACAGTGCTGCAATAAATAATTGGATAAATTCGATAATTACAGTACAAATCATTTTTAGAAAATCGTTGTGTGCAATGTGCATGTTGGCCCACGGATATAAGGTACACGAAGCAGTTTCATTTTGATGTGGTACAATATACAAACCTGGTACGATATGTGACCCAAAAAACTGCCAAAGATAACCTTTGGAACTTACATTACCCTACTTATAAAATAGACATACACATAAATAATACACTTATAATCATATTCTATACAATAGAATATGATCATTAACCTAAAGTAAAAAGGCTCAGTATTAAAGAAAGTGTTTTTTTTTCTTATCTGGATTAAATAATTTTCGGAATCTCTATGAGTATTGGTCAAATAAGTTTGGCGAGGAGAAAGAAAGAAAAAATATTCCGCTTCGGAAAAGAAAAAAATATTCCGCTTCGGGTTGGTAGCCGAACGGTTAAAGCGATAGTGTCTTAATCGTTCGTAGGTTCGTACCTAGCCAAGGTGGGTTCAATCCCCACCAAATTCAATCCCCAAAACTATGGTTTCTAGGAAGGGATTTTTTGGCCAAAAGAAATTTTGCAGAAAAAAAATTAGATAACGATGGATATATCCGTTTTGAGGCCCTCTAAAACCATAAGTAACATTTCCAGAAAAATGTCTCTGTCTGTCTGTATGTACGGCATGATAAAAGGATTTCTCTGTCATCTGTCGCCCCCAATTGACGGTGAATTGCCACCCCATTGTCTCTGCAGAGCTAGGAAATTGTCCACTGCCGCAGGCGGTGTGGATAATTTTCTAGTACATAATGTTAAAACTTGTAAAAGTTTGCACTTTGACGACATACACTGAACGCATTTTTTTAATCCTGCAACCTAGTTACTTCACCCCGAGGGGACGCCTTGAATAAAAACTTTCCCGTTTTTGGATATTTGCCGGGAAAGTATTGTGGTGCCACAACAGATTTTTCTATTTCCGCTATTGTTCGCATAAATAAAAAAGTATTTCATCCAACTTCTAACTCACTTCCTTTTTAGAATTTCGGGTGCGAAGGGGATGATCAAGTGCAATAATTCTGTGAAAAAAATAACAAAGGCCCTGCAGTACAAAAAGGAGTCGGTGTACATTTTACAAGATGACAATCTGCCACCTCTCTTCACCGTCTTGGAACTGATGAATCTCTCGGTAGATCTGAAGTTGCGGGATATATCCTACAAGACCAAAGAATTTTTGGTACGTATTTTTATATTTATTTATTTCCGTTTGTTCAACAAAAAATTCTAATGAGCAAATAGTACGACTCATTAACAAAGAAAAAACTACGAAACGTTTCTGGTCACAGAGGCATAGACAATATTTATAATACTATTGCATTTCTTTGTAGATTGAAGATATTTTGGACAATCTAGGGTTAAAGAATTCCCAGCATACTCGATGCCAAAATTTGTCAGGAGGCCAAAGAAAGAGACTGTCTGTAGCTTTAGAACTCGTCAATAACCCACCAATCATGTTTCTGGATGAGCCCACAACGTAAGTGTTCACTGCTGATTTTTGTCTAAAAAAAGAAAAATATTGTTGATTGGATACGATTTTTGCGGAAGCGTATAAAGGCCACATAGATAAGGAAAATATTTAACCGTCCATGTAAAATGTTAAGAGTAACCCCTTCCACTCACTAGCCACCCAAACGGCGTGCACGCGCATACTCCCCTACATTGCCGAGAGCGAGTGGGAAGGCGTGCTGGCCGGCGAGGGGAGTACAAACCCCGCCCATACCTATCCCACCCATACTCCATACATATGAAATACGCTAATACATTCTACCTAATGGGCGGTTAAATATTTTCCTTATCTGTATATATTTTTTATATATATATACCAAGGGTTACGACTTATAACTCGTAATTACGATTTATAACTTGTAATTACGATTATAAGTCGAAATCATTCTATAATTCAAAAAATTATTAAAATGAGCCTGTTCCACTCCAACACAACGATACAATAAAGAATACCTTAATATTAAATGGTCAATAAATTGTGAAATATTAATTAAAAAATATATCATGTGTTCATATGGTTACCCCCACCTCTACCTATATTTTTGATGTTCGAAGCACTTAATATATTTGAATTCCTTAAGCAAGTGAAATCGGACATACTCGTATGTTTATATACAAGTTTTTTAATCAAAATTACATTAGCTGTTATCCGTTTGTCGGAGAGCTTATAGATCACCCTGTATTTATATGTGGCCCTTCTACGCTTCCGTAGATTTTAAACGCATTTTTGTATTATTTTTTACTAGGTAAGTATAAAATAAAGGGTAAATAAGCTTACAAACCCTCTTTGAAGGTGTTAATTTCTTTTTTTAAATATTTCCACAACGCCTTTATTGACCAAATATTGGCGGAAAATATTGGTAGATAATTTATTATTGATTCACGAATGTTAACCGATAAAATAAATTGTAAATTGTTGATATACTGCACAATAACCATTACATTTTATGTAAAACGGATACAAGATAATGAATCAATAAATTATCACAATTTGTCGATGTGCAACAAATAAAAAAAACATTGTGTGTAAAAGCACGTGTACTTTAGAAACAAACACACCTACCTATTAGTGAATATTAAAATATATTTTTCGAATACTGTCATCAGAGGTTCGATATTTTCGTTTACACAATTTATTTTTGCACTACATGTAAAAAAGATCCAGTGCGATCATGCGCATTACAAAATAGTGTACAATACAATCTAGTAATTTACAGGGGTTTAGACAGTTCTTCCACCTACCAGTGCGTTCAAATGCTGAAGTACCTAGCAATGGACGGAAGAACTATCATCTGCACCATCCATCAACCTAGCGCTTCGATATACGAAATGTTCGACCACATCTACATGATGGCCGATGGCAGTTGTGCCTACCAAGGATCGGCCGATAACACGGTGCCGTACTTGTCCTCCCTTGGATTTCAATGCCCCCATTATCACAATCCAGCTGATTACTGTAAGTTTTACAAAAATTATGATTTTCAACCTCGCTGTCCTAATCGACTAACTCGCGGTAACTCCAAATTATTCTGTATCTGTTTTCGTCCTACCGACTGCGCCATGTAAAGATAAATGTTCAAAATGGAGTCGTTAAAACTAATTTTTCATTTGGGAAATAGTTATTAGTTCGATCATTTTATACAAATTATACAAACCAACTATACAGGGTGAAATCGAAAGTGAGGTTTTCCCTTTTAATATAGCATTTATCTATCAAGAAATGATACAGTATACGAAACAAAATGATACTGACAGGGAAAAGTAAAACTTGGAAAAAAACTTACCAACTCCGACATTTAAAAATTGTATAGTCCGGTCCTGGTGTCAAGTTGTTATGGAACGGATACAATTATTGATTCTCGCGCAATGTTTTCCATACTTTATGTTAAGAAACGTTCACCTGACGTGCAATTTCTCTAGTACTCGTTGAAGGATCATCCTCAACAATATCCAAAACCTCTTCTTCTGTTTGCAGCATATGGTGGGGCCTGGCATACACATGTGCCATTTTTGTTTAATAACTATCACTTTTGAATAGATATGTTCTAACGTCTCTACCACTGCCACAACTAATTCCACAATTTTAAACACAACTTTTACAGGTTTTCACTAACACCACTTTGAGACGTTTTTGATCCGACCTCTCCGATATCGAATTGCAAACTAAACAACCACATGAACTGAGCGCGTAACGGGCAGGCACGCCTGGCGGGTTACCCCTGACCTTGGCCAGTATACTTCTTGTTATTGTTAAATAGGTCAGGTATTGTCCAGGATCGGCTTTTAAATATGCAATACTTTTAAATGCAAATATCTCGGTTATTAAGACATTTTTTACTAAGGTGATTTTTTGCACAACGATTTATTTTTATGTGTACAATCACTTGGTAAAAGGAAAACCCCACTTTCGAGTTCAGGCTGTGTATTTGCTTTGTTTCAACCCCTTCAAGTTCATTATTTTAGTTTTAGAAGTTGTTAATGGTGACTATGGAAAATATACGGAGATATTAACGCAAGCAACCTTAGAGGAAATATGGAGAAAACCTGTACCTAAAAGTATGTAATTTTGACCAACTGTCGCTACTTTTTTGTACTTTGTATGTATATTTATTGCTTGAGTAATCTGGTTTATTTCAGGCCAAGTAGACAAAAAGGCTAGTTTAATAGTATCTGATGAAATGATAGTATACGACAGTCACCTTCAGAATATGCCATTCGAAAACCCTTCAGAATGGACAAGGTTTTTGATACTGCTGAGTAGATGTGGCACTCAACTTTTCAGAGACTGGGTAAGTCGCTTTTTTAAAAGAAATAAATTTTAATCTGACATTGAAACCAGGATGCACTGGTTGTGTATCAGTTGAACCCAAAATTGATGGAAAATTATGTTGGTATAAAAATTATCTTTAAATAATATTTACATATTTTTATAAGTATTTCTTTTTTGCTTGATTTGTTTTTAGCATAAACAAAATAACGGGCAATCAAGCTAATTAATGTTGATATCTTAAAATAATATATTATGACCTAGTACCTGTTCTTGTTTGCTTGATTAAAATATAAATGGAAACGATCTATTAAGTTTATTAAGATTAATAAAATATTGTGACTATTTTATTTTATTTTAATTTTAATTTATTTTATTGCGAAAGATTCCAATTTTGCAAAATCCTTATTAAAATAACGGAAAATTGTAACATTAAGCAACAAGAAAAAGACCGTGGCCTTAACACCACTCTTAACTATACTCAATGTTTCATAACAGAAATCGTGTAGGTACTCGTAATGTTAACTTTCTTTCAGACGATATCCCAACTAAAGTTGATCCTACACGTCCTGGTGGGGCTCTTCCTTGGGATAACTTTTCTGAACGCAGGAACAGACGCGTCGAAAGTGGTAAATAATTTAGGCCTGATGTTCTGCAGTGTAGTTTACCTAGCGTATACCTCACTAATGCCATCTGTTCTCAAATGTAAGTGCAAAGTTTGACTGGGTATTAAGTCTTAATATTAAGTAAAATATGTCATGAAATATTTTAATTTTTTTTTTGTTATTTTAATCGTTTTTATATATAAAATATATATTTTTAGTTCCATCCGAATTAGCAGTATTAAAAAAAAGAAAGGTTCAACAACTGGTACAAACTGAAGACCTACTACGCTGCGTTCTTAATTTCAGATATCCCTATGCAGGTAATTATTTCGTGGGCCTGAAATGCCTGAATATATTGTTTTTCTTTGCAGATCGCTTTCGGTTTAGCTTATACGTCGACTTCCTACTTTATGAGTTCTCAACCGTATGAACCCAGAAGATTCTTCATGGTACTCGTGATCCAAACCCTGGTGGCGCTTACTTCTTCTAGTTTCGGATTGTTTTTGGGCACGGTTGTCAACCCGATAGTGAGTACTTTTTTAAATTGTATTTTTAAAAACATTTTGGTTGTCACTGGAATACTGTTTTACAATTA